GGGCGAAGAAAACACAGTCCAGCGGGGGGGGGGGGGGGGGGGAAGAAAAATAAGGTCTCTGCTCCTCTATTACGGCCTGTAATAACTAACCAGCTTCAGCCAGTTGTGCCAGAGTAAGGCTATACAGGTAGTAAACTTAATCTCAAGGTACAGAGGAAGATAAGATCATAAGAGTTCATCTTTCTCAACCTAACTTGTTCCTGGCAGCATAGACTAGAAGGGGGCATCACCTCAGGTCACTACCAGCAAGGGGCAAGGGCCACACAACAGACAGTCTGTTCCTTCTGTCCACTCTGCCAGGCCTTGTTTACTGATACCATAAATCAAGGCTGGGGAGCCTAGCAATGACTTTTTGGCAGCTTAAGATGACTAGTTTTCCCGAGACAGGGCAGTGAATATGGCCCTCCTGACTAGAAAGGTATCTGATAATACCAAGACAAAGTAATTGACAGTACACAACTAGGAACAACCTATGTATTAGGCACTTCATTTATATTTGAAGTACAAAGGAGATTGAACCCCTCCCCCACATACACTCATCTTGTCAGCTCAGCTAGCTTAGCGCCCAACAGACTGATTTACAAGTTCTCCACAGCTTTTGGGGACTGCTGGAATACCAAATGTCACCCCCTTTCCCAGGGCAGATCCACCCATATTACTACATTTCAAACACCTGAGCTTGTCTCCTTCTGTTTAGGGGCAGATGAACAACTGCTCACGTTACAACATTTCAGTCTCATGGTAGCTGCGCATACCGGTGCTGAAAGCCTGTTTGTCCTTCAGTTGTCTTAACTGAGACCTGTTAGCTGAACAGCTCTGAGTCTCAGCTCTGCAGCCTGCTGCGAGAAGCTAGGGCCTTCTCTCACCCTACGGATGAAGTCCACTGACACTCAACCTTCACAGCAGCACTTCTGATAGGAGCACAGAGGCTGGGCCCACTGACGGGCCCTGTGGGCTACCAGGGCAGCCCACCGCCCTGGCGAGCCCCCAAGCCCTGCAGCACGCACGCAGGGTATGTAAGAGCTGACAGCACCGACAGCCCACAGCCAACACGACCCACTTCTCCTCTCACATTTTGAGGAGTCAAGACCCCACTGTGGAAGAGACAGGAGCATAACTAGAGCATTTAAGGAGACCACTGACGGGCCCTGTGGGCTACCAGGGCAGCCCACCGCCCTGGCGAGCCCCCAAGCCCTGCAGCACGCACGCAGGGTATGTAAGAGCTGACAGCACCGACAGCCCACAGCCAACACGACCCACTTCTCCTCTCACATTTTGAGGAGTCAAGACCCCACTGTGGAAGAGACAGGAGCATAACTAGAGCATTTAAGGAGAGGTCA